ACGAGCTCTGCAGGAGCAAAGACATCAAAAAATCACGGAATGGGGGTCGTCTGGCTCATCCCTGGATGCCGGTAAGAACGCGGGACAGGACAAACCCCTGCTGGATGTTGGTTGTGTGTGTTCCCCTTGTCAGAGCAATATCCCAAGCAATGCTGGGCATGGAGCTACATAAGGCCCATTACTGGAAATTAGTTCTCATTGAACGCCAACGGTAGTAAAACCTCTAAATTAAATATGAATGAAGCACTTTTTTTTTTTTTTTGCCTAAATCCACCACACTGTTTTGAAAAACTCAAGCACTGCTTTAAACTTAAGTGGCCTTTATTTACCTTCTCAGGTTCCAGCTCTGGAAACACCCATATGAACAGCTTTGCCTTAAGCACATGAATGCCCTAGCAGGAACAGCATCATTAGTCTCAGGTTTAAAGTTAAGGAAATTATTTTAGGATTAGGGACTAGCTGCATTTTTATTTCAGATAACAATCTTTAATAGGAGATGTTGCTTTCTGCTCTTTCGAGGCTCCTGGGGGGAGATTAAAAGTCATCTCTCCCTCCACGGGTTAAAGAGAGTCTGTGGATTTGGGGAATTCCTTCTTAATACCAGTTTGGATAAAAATAATTGTGCAATAATAATAATAACTTAATGCTATAACCCTGACACACTCCATGTGGCATCTATGAGATCCTCCAAGATTTTCCATGGAAATCATTTTCTAAAAGAAACTCCAGTCTGCAGCCACTTTGCCACTAAACCAATGTTTTCTGTGTGATGCTTCTATTTTCCTTTTAAAAGGCCCCACATGCCTAAAAATGGAAGTATTTTGTCCAAAGTGCAGAGCAGTGGGATGTGGGAGCACAGTCCCGGTGGGCGATGGTGTGTTGCTCCCATCCTGTGCTTCCTCGCAGGCCGGCCGATCCTGAGCTGCCCCGAAGAGCAGCGCTCAGTGGCTTTTCAAAACGTAGGGAAAACTGTCTCCATTTGTACATGTGGCTTTTCCCTAGGGAGTGCTGAAATCCTCCTCCATCTGCTCCATTGTGTGCCGCTCCAGGAACCTCTCGGAAGCACTTCAGGAAGGGCTGCGGGAAGTAAGGAAAATCCGTGGGCTCCTGCGGATGGGGCACATTGAACCCCAGGGCTCTGCGAGCCGAACGCTGCCGCGGGCTCGCTGGGCTCCGCTGCCATCCCGGCCTCGGAGCAGCCGTCCTCGCAAGGCGAGAGCAAGCTCAGCCTTGGGCTTTCACCTACCCGCGCTCGCGAGTCAACACCCTCCTGTCGCGGCGCATGTGTGGGACCTCCCACTGAAAGGGGAACTAAGAGCCAGGCTCTCACATAAATCCGAGTGCCATGAGCCGCACACAGGTAAGCAGGGAGGACCGAATGATTTCCAGCTTGGAAATGATCCAAATGGCCCCAAAATGATTGAAATCCTCGGTGCACCTTTGCAACGCTCCCATTCACGCAGCACGCCTGCAGAAAGTGCTGCTTCCCAAACACAGTAGGAAGGTCAGAGCGTTTCCTGCACCGTTTCTCTCCCCTTCCCACCTCGGTTGTGTCCTGCTCCCTGCCTGAGTTGGGACGACCTGCACTGATCCCTTGTGTCCAAATTACACTAATGGCCTAGCCGCTTGCGTCTGCGTTGGGTTTGGGTGGAGAGAGGAACCTGCACTCGGGGCAATGGGAACCTCAACGCTCTCAGCTACCGCCCTCGGCAAGTGCCGTGATAGTGCTCACAGGGGAGGTTACATCTGCTTCCCGGCTTAGTGGAAGGTTTAGTGCCCTGTGGCCCATTCCAGGAAGATTTCTCGAGTGGGCAACTAAACACGAGAAGACTTCGCAAAAATCCCGAGCAAAGCCCCAGGTTGTGCAGCTCCACCTCAACACACCGGAGCCGCTGGCCACCGAGCCGCACTGAACAGCAAACCCACCCAGCACTCGTGAAAGCCCACGAGCACAGAGGCACCTCTGGAGACACTGAAAACGTTCTTTTTTTTTTTTCCCTCCCATTGCAAGGTTTTATTTATTTTTTTTAACTGTAATTCAGAGAAGGTGCTCGCAAAAAGGGGACAGCCCCACAAAACCATCAGGGTTAGGATTAAGGACCCGCCAAACACCCATGTGCTTCCCGTGCGCCCGGCAGCGGGCAGGCCGCAGGTCCCCGCGGAGCCACGCGGTGCCGGGGGCTTCTCCTCGCGCGGAGCCTCCTCCCCCTGCCGGGCCCTCTCTCCCTGCACTCAGCAGGGAGAGC